ATATATGTATTATATATTTCTATTCATAGTCCCCTTATAATTCCTCTGGAATTTAATTAGCTGCTATTCCCCATCCCTGTTTTATTATGTTTAGCTCATCAAAGTCTTCTTGATTATTTTTAAAACTACAAAATGGCAAGATTTGCTAGCCAGTTGAGAGAATGTGGGCTGTCCATTCTGAGCACATATAAGCCCGACTTCTGCCTTGGGAGAGGCATGTTGCTGCCTGGAGCTACACTATGAAGGGTTTTAAAATTTAGTAACAGAGGCCAGAAAGACAGTACAGTGGGTAAGGCCTTGCATGTTGTTGACCCAGGTTTGATTCCTAGCGCCACATACAATTCCCACAAATACTGTCAGGATGATCCCTTAGTACAGAGCCAAGAGTATTCTGAATATGTTGGACAACCAAATTAATAACCACAAAACAACATTATAAATTATCGGGACCCATCCCAAACCACAATTAGGAAGTCAGCATGTCACCCCTAAAAATGAAATTATCTTATCTGTTTTATCCTATTGTCAGAGGTGTTTATAACCACATTTGCTAAAATCATTTCTGCTAAATTTCTGTCTTGAGAGGGAGATTAGAAAAATGCCTTCTGAGCCCACTGAGAGGTCAAGTTCTACATATTTATTCATGCATTTGGGCCCACAGAATCTTGACAGTGGCATTCCAAATATTTTCCTCATTTTCCTAAAACTGAGCAAACCCTAAGAAATGGGTATCATGCGTGGAGTTTGAGCTACCAACGGCAGCCTTTGTTTTCTAAGGATTTAGAAATCCATTTAAAATAACTCACAATTAAGCTAACAGACAATTCGGAGCTTACACATATAGATGCTTAAATTTCCAGCATTTTATAGTCGCTCTTACTGTTTTTTGAGATGACAGTTCTTTCTTCACAGAAGGAGCACACCATTAGAAAAATCAAACAGTCGTTAGAGAAAGCTGACTTACTCTCCTGGCAATTGACAGAGAGGTGCAACACAGTCCCACCCAGATGGGAGCCCAAATGCATCCTCAGCAGGCTGGCAGAGAAGCAGCCCACTTGGCCTAAGGCTGGACTGTCTGTTTTTAAGAGCAGAGACTGGAGTTTTCAGTCTTAGGGCGCTGCTGCCCAGCTATGAGCCACCTCTGTAACAGCTGCCTGCAGAGCTTAGGGGGTATGTGCTGCCCTCTCCCCACCTGTTTTGTAAGTGAACAGCCTTGGAAGTTGAACTCCCTGCTCTGCTCTAGCTCCTCTCTGTCCCGTTGGACAGGAGGCAAAGTTACAGTCCTGTTCAGGAAAAAAGATACTTGTAGGGAACGGGCACTCTGCCGCAGCTGAGTATCAAATATGGAGAGAAGGAACATTGAGGACCGACCACAGAACTGTCTCCTTGCAGAGACTGGAGGCGGACCAGGTGGGGTTGGGGGCAGGGGTGGCAGCCAGATTCTTGAAATATGAGCCGTGGTTTTAACTTTAAATAAGCACTTCCGCCTTCACGGAAACCCCCCACTAATGTCTCTTGCACCCCTAGTGTCTCCTGCAGCTTTGATTTTGGAATACGTCACATTCCTCATTAAAGCAATCACTGTTAAAACATAAAGCAACACAGGATTTATTTCTTCATTAAACTGATGATCCGTATATGAAGCCAATTAACATTATGAGTCTGGTGAACATCAAGTGTAAAGAGGTTAGAGAAAATTAAAAGCAGTCACCTTGGTCTTTAGATAAAGAAAGTACACTTTTAGGTTGTAAATTATCAGAGTGTCCAAGCGCGACAGATCGGTGAATTTGGTTAATTGCAAAATTCATTTTACCGCACAGGAATTACGGAAAAAATAACCTTTTCGTTACTAACGTCCTTATTGGGGGGTGCGGGGGTGCTGTGGATAGTGAATCACCTTGTCCCCGGACCGAAGGTGGGAGACAATCGGAAGTGGGGGAAAGGGGGGTTCGCGTCATCAAAGTTTGTTGTAGCCTTTCGTTTCCAAGGCAGCTTGGGTGGGTTGTGGATCCGCTGTTTTGTCAACAGGAGGTGGCCTCGGCGGTCAGGGCTGAAGGACGTCGGGCCCAGCCGAGCCGAGGGTTCCGGGCTGGCTCCGAGCCCCCGCAGGTGAGTGTTGTCCCGCCGTGGACGCGCGTTTGGGGACTCTGGGCGGGCAGGGGCGCGGCGGCGCTCGGCCGGCCCCGGGACCCTTCGGGGCTCAGTGGTGGTGTTGGAGCCGCGCTCTGGGCTTCGGGACGGAGTTCGGGCCCTGCTGAGAGCCGAGCGCGCGTCCCGAGTAACTTTGGCAAGGTTTCCTCGGGAGGGGATCGGGATCGGCCCCCTCCAAAGCCTGGAATCCCAGCATCGCGCGGCGCGGCTTCGGCCGCGGAAAAAGCTCTAGACCCCAGAAGGCATCTCGGGGGCCAGACAGATCCTTTGCCCGCTCGGCGGCCCGGCAGGGAATAGGAGCCGCTGTCCAGGGTTCTGACCAGCCCGGAGGCGCTGGCAGAGCGCAGCCGGCGAGCGCCAGGGGTCGGTCCAGCCCCGCGGACCTCTGTGGGTCTCGATCAAAACCTGCTTTGGCAGACGCCAGGGACGGGGAGCTGAGACCGAGCGTGGACCTCTTTGGGTTCGGGGACCAAGGGGCGCCTATGTCCTGGTGCCGAGGGTTCCTCTCTTAGAGAACTCAGGCGCGCCCACAGCATCTTGGCTGGGCCGGCCCGAGTGTCCCTCTCACCTTGTTTCAGCGGGGAGTCGCCGCCCCGGCCAGGTGGGACCCCTAAGGTCCCCTCTCTCTGGCAGACTCGGGAGAGTTAAGGGAGCCGCTGGCACTTGCAAAGCGCTCCAGGGAGTCGAGATCGAGTGCGCGTACAGAGCCTCTTGGCCTAACTTGGGAGAGGGTCGCCTTCCGTGGCTCCGGTCCCTCTAGAAGACCTGGAAACCTTTTTCTCAATTGCCCCTCCAGCCGTGCCTGCCGCCACACCCTCCTCCCAGACCTTCAGCGGTGCAGCCCGCCGGGGCGGGCCTCCTGGACTGGCGGAGTCCGGGGACCCTGGAGGCACCAGCACGACCCGAACCCAGCTCGGAAAAGCGGGAGTTTGCGGCGATATCTTCCGCGTGGCCGGCGGGCTCCCCGCGCCTAGGCCAGCTGAGTCCAGGAGGGGCCGCCGAGGGGCTCCGCGCCCCGACTTGCCTCTGCGCGAGCCGAGCCGCGTCTTCCTCCTGGTGCTTTGGCCAGCGGCGTCCCGGAACCGGTCGGGGTCCCGGCGCGCTTGCCTTGTCCGGGGCGGTGTCCACGTGTGGGCACGCCAGATCTTTTGTTTGCAACGCGCTGTGTCTTTAAGATCAAAGCTGGATCCCCGGGCGGTGCGGGGACCCGACCCACTGCCTCACTCCCGAAAGCGGCATTAGAATGTTTATAAAATATTCAATTTATGCAGTCTGTCCAAGAAGCCATCGTCCCAAAATAAAATCAGCAGTCTAGACGAAACACAGACACCAGAACTTATCAACAGTTGTCTGACTTGCATCTTCTGATGCATCTTGAGTGGGTCATAATACCAACTTTATTTTCAGTGGTGCATAAATTAATTACACGCATTTAATAACCAAAATATCATTATATTCCCCCTTTAATATCATAAAGGCTTTCCGCCAGGGAAGCACTTAATAGTGCAGGGGGCCGTAACGGGCTATTATCCTGGTGTAATGCTATTACAGAACCAATTATGCACCATTAGACTTGCTTTTTTTGCAGTTTATGTGATTTGATCCAATCCTGCGCCCCTGACTTGAAAATTTCAGCCCGGTACTTTAGAGTTTAATTTTCACCCAGGCAGAGGGAAGGGCGGTCTCTCTCGGCTGAGTGTCTGCCTCGGATGCATTTTAAAAGTAATTGCGAAGGGTCCCACCGCATATCATTTGCATGGAGAAGAGAACATAAATTCAGGGACCCCTTGCTGAGAACAAAATCAAACTTTCCTTTTGTACGGTCGCTTGGAAAGGAAAGCCGTGTGCAAAGAGTCCCCCCAAAACCCATCCGGCGGCGACAATTAGCAGCGCTTTGTCGATTCGCAGCCCGGGAGTCGCCAGGCCTCTGACGAGGGCGAGCCCAAAGCCAGGCTCTCGCGAAGAAAGAAGGTTTGAGTCCGAGGGGACTGGAGTCGGGGGGTGGGGTGATGTTGAGAAAATAATGCCTTTGGGGCAGGGGAGGGTGTTGGTAGCGACGTTCGTGTCTATTCTCTTTTAAAAGGAAGGAGGAAATAAACATTCCCGATGTTTGCTGAGAAATGACGGATTTTTTTTTTTTTACACCACGTGGGCCATTTGTAAGGCCCAATAGACCTATCCAAGTTACTCGCTGTAGACAGCGCTGGAAATAATCAGATTAAGGCCAATTATGCGTGAGATTATAAAGGCGAGTGCTGAGCGGCGGCGCGCGCTGTAGACAGACAGCAAGACATCTGGCCACTTCTCGACTCACTTTTGTGGTCCTGCGGGCGTCAGCCGCGCCGAGCCCCGCCCGCCTCCAGCCGAGCCGGGCGAGCGCACCGGAGCCGATCACCCTCCGGCCGTCCTCGCCCGCCGCCCACCGAGGTACGCGCGGGCTGCCGACCCACCCGCGCGGCCCCGGGGCGCCCGGCCTTGAGGCTCCGCCGCCTCTCGGGCCGGCCGGGGGGCTTTCTGACCGCACAGATGACCTGAGCGCTCGCCGAACCCCACTCCCCCAGTGCAGCGCTGGCCGCCCGGAGCCCCGAGAGCCGCGAACCAAACTGCGTGGGTTGGGTGTGGGTGCCGGCTTAGGGGTTCCGCGGCGCCCGGGAGGTGGACCCCAACCCGGAGCTGCCCTGGGCGGGGGGTCTGGGGAGTGTGCAAACTTGGGTGACTGCAGCTCCCTCCCCTCCGGTCCCGACCGCGGGTTGAAGGTTTTTCCAGGAGGGCAGTGCCGGGTGCGCTCCAGGGCCGGGGCTGGGCACCGGGAGAGCGAGACTTAGGCTCTATCGACGCTTGCTTTGCAGCCAGGCCAGAGCTACGCACGCCCGTCCGGCTGGCGGCCGTCCTCCCGCGACCCGGCTGTCCAGCCTCTCCGGCCGTCGGCGATGTTTTATTTCCACTGTCCGCCGCAGCTCGAGGGTGAGTAGCGCCGCGTCCGCCGCCGCGGTGAAAGGCCGGCGCCGGCCGAGAAGGGCCGGCCGGGGAGCAGCAGGTCTGGCCTGCGGTTGGGTTTCCTCCCCTGGAGAGGCCAGCCGCGGGGCGGTGGGTAGGGGCACCCCGGGACCCCTCCCCGCGTCCCGCTCCAACCTCCCGCGCCGTCGCCACCTGCCTCCCACCTCCCTTCTCCGTCTGGGCCGGCCCGGCCTCGGGCGATGCGTGCTGCGGGGACCAGCCTGGTGCTCCCAGCACAGATGCTGGTGTCACGCCTTTAATCGGGGCTCCCCCGCCCAGGGGACCACATCAATCTTTCACGGCGTTTTGCAAACATCCCCGAAAAGCCACAGCGGACCAGGGAGTGGCCGGAGTGGTCCTGAGCCGTCACCGCGAGCGCCCTGGGCACCTGGTCTCCGGGGCTGCTCTCACTGGGGGCGCAGGGCAGGACTGGGGATGGGGAGACATTAACGCCGTTGATTCGGGGCTTCCATGCCCCCCACCTCTCAGTGCCAGGTGGCCTTGTACTCCACCGCCAGAATGCCCTGGCATGGCTCCTACTCTGTGAGTCACTGGTCTCCTGACCCCAACTGCCACGCACTCCCTACTCCCAAGGGATAAGGGAACATCCAGCAGCCAGAGCTTTGGGGGCTTTGAACAGTTTGAAATTTGCATTAAAAAATTTTTTTTTGTTTCTTTGGATATCTAGTGTGGTCTCTGAGCAGGATTATTAGGATTATTAGTGGGGAGATGAGGTTGTTGGCAAGGGGGCATCCTGCATCTCTGGTGTCCCCCTCTTCCCCATAGGACATCTCTGGGCTGGGCCCTCCACGAGGAGAGGATCAGGGTGCAGCAGGCAGGCACATGTATGTAGAACACCTTGAACGGGTATCTCCCTCCCAGCAACAGTCTGAGCCAGAAGCTTCCAGGACTTTCATAACCATGGTGGCGGCAGTAGCAGAGAGAGATGTGTTCTGGGCAATCCATCCCTGTGGTTTATTTGTGAAAAGAATTCTGGGAGGCGGAGAAGCCCAAGGAAGAGCCTGGAACAGGGGCAAAAAGGGGTGTGACATGGGAGACCCGAGCCAGTGAAGGGGGGGAGTACTGGCCACTCTGCCTGGGCTTCCCTGGACCCCCAGCGGCGCTCCAGCTGGTCCGTGCCCCTGGGGGATATCAGAAAGTTTGTTTTTGTTTCCTCTGTGGGATCTTTTAGGAGTATAGTTGGACTTCAGAAAAAGGTCATCGAGGAAAGCCATCCCCTCATGCCTCTCACCTCCTTTCACCTCCCTGGACTCATGCTGATATATTTTCTAAAGAGATCTGAGAGGTGTATCTCCTGAGCTTGTACCCCGGGACTGGAGAAGAACCCCCACTTTCTCAGTGGACAGACCTCTGAACTTCTCTTTGGAGTGACTGACTCCTGGTACCCCTTTCTTTTGGTTATAGTGGGGAGTGTCCGTTTTGGGCATTGTAGCAGCCGGTGATGATGCCCAGAAGGACCGTGTGTGGCATAGGCTGCAGGGGTCGTTTGGGAGACTCCTGGCACAATTTTCTAGGCACAGGGCTGAACATTGCTCTCGGCTATGGCTATACTCAGTCACCACCCTTTCCTCACCACCCCTGGGGCAAGTTCCAGCTTGATGCTGATTCTGACAGCTGTCACCTGGATCCCAGGAGCTCGGGAAATGTCACTTTGAGGAGCTTTTCATCCCCTTGTAGATGTGTTTCAAAGCCAGTTTTGGAAAAGGGATTTTGTTTTACTTTGGTGCTGCGGAAGTAGAAAAGATCTTTGGTATCTGATGTCTCCTTATAGCTTATCTGTTTTAAATTGTCTTATTTTCTATTAATCTAGAGAGGAATAAGGAAGAGAGGAGAATGTGGTTTCTAATTTAGCTACTCACATCATTTCAAAGATTAAATTAAAAAGTAAGATATAGACTTACCTACTTAGGGAATTCACATGGAAAGAAACTAAACAATGAAAAGGAAATTGTCTAGCTATGCTTCTTGCTCTAAAAATATTTTTTTATTGTTGGTTTTTATAGTTCCTTCAAGAAAAATATGCATTTACCTTTACTTGTGTCTGTGTTGAGATCATGCTTCCATACCATTTGGGACTTCGCAGTTAAGTATTCTACCCCTCAACTACACAAGACTTTTTTATTTTTTCACAGCATTGTACATATTTGGGGGGGGATTGCTCCCCATCAGAGTTTACAAATATACTGATTTCTTTTAAACAGTTGTGTAGTATTCCATTATATGTGGTGCAGAAAGTCTCTACCAATGGGCACTTGACTTGTTTCCAGTTTTTTTCCCTATTACTACATTTCTGGGAACATCCCTCTCTCTCTAGTTTGGCACACTTTATACACTTATTCATAGATTTAATACCTGTGTGTGCACTTAAATTTTTGATAGATATTGCCAAATTACCCTATACTAAGGCTGTGCCAATTGACATTCCTATAAACAATGAATGAGCACTCATTTTATTGTACTCTTGTCTATCTGGAGTATCATTAAACTCCTTTTTTCCCTTCTAAAATGTGAAAATATTAGCCCAATTCTCTGTTTAGTTGAATTATTAGCAAGGTTTAACATTTTTTATAGCACTATAGATCCATTATTTATTTTTAAGTAAAAGACATCTCTCATAATTCCCTCTTTTCTGTTAGGTTGCCAATCTTAGTGCTTTTTAATTCTATGAACCATCAGCCTTTTTTTAGGATTCCACTTGACACATGACTTCACTTAGAGATGCAAAGTGTGCACTGCACATTGTGAAACAAATAGGGACAAGCATTGCTTATGATGAGGGAGTGCAGAGACTGTTTCCTTTCTCAGAGTCAAAGGCTTGTTTCAGAAGGAGGCACTTTGGATTCCCTTAAAATAATGGAAATGAGATTTTTTTTGAGACAGTCCTTTTAAGTTTCCAATTAAGTTTCCAATGATCTGAAGAGAAATATTGTGAACTGGAGTTTTGAAGAAGAATTAAGTTGGATGTCAGAGGGGAGGGCTTCAGCAAAGAGGTAAAGAGGTATTGTGGCAAAGAGGAATAGCGTATCAGTAGGAGGGTCTTTCTCCCTTCACGAGACAGGATTTTTGAGAGCTCAAATGATCCTTTGGGACAGAGGCCCTTCTGAGGAACCATGTCTGGACAGTGTGGTTGCCAGCGCATAGGGCCAAATATACAGTGATTCTGAGATTACAGCCCATGTCAGGTTCAGTATTCACTGGCTAATGGGAACCTGCTCATTTGTTTTCCTAAGAAGCCATTGTGGACTGTCAAGTAAATAGTGCACATTTGGAAAATGCTCTAAATGCACATTTGGGGCCAAACTCTATTCTGGCTTATAGACAAGCTTCGGAGGCTGCAGGGAAGACAGTGGTAAGGAGGCTGCGCCCCACTTTTTTCCTTCTCAGGAGGTGGGAGGCTGGCCAAAGGGTGGGCTGCCCTTTGAGAAGTCTGCTTGGAATTCAGGGCAGCTGATAGAGGTGCAGATCTCTTGCTAAATGACATCTCTATAACAGAACCACTATGGTGCTGATGAGCTGTGACCACGGGTAATTAATATTCATTTATAA